TAATGTATTAATGTTGATAACAAAATTATTTTATCTGGTACCAATCTAAGCTCTTCTTTCCTTAGATGTTAGATGTGCTTGCAAAGAGCTGTCTCTTATACACATCTAGATGTGTATAAGAGACAGGGCCTACATAGCCTAGGTACGGTAGGGACACGAAACAAGTTTTGAAGTTGTTTGAATCACGATCAAATTCCAAATTTCGCTGAACGCGTTTAACATTTTGCCATTCACGAGCAGTCAGGAATATGAAAAGGGGAGGAGTTAACTTCAAACGGAATAAACGGCTCGAACGACAAGCTTCCAAACGGCATTTCACAGACGCGTTTGGGAGCTTGTCATATAACAATAGTAAACGTGTTTGACCCGTTTCTGTCGTTGGGGATAATTTGTAGATCACGCCTAACATGTTTGTATTGACTTTCATTTCCTTTAACTCATGCTATGCTCACGCTAGCCGTTTGCCCATTCGCCAACGGCAAATTGAGATGCCGTTTAGTGAAAAAAAAAAATTGGCATCGTGTATTTTCATAGAAGCAATTAATTTTTGTCTAGGCTAGGCTCTTAAGTAATTACCATCTGGAGCAGTGGAGATATCGCCTTGCTAAGTAACCCTATTTTTACCGCATATTGCAGTACCGATTTACAGACACTGTCGTCAAGTACATACATGTGGAAAATCCCAGATAGATCGTTCTGGGCATGTGTATGGACATGCATGGGCAGTTTTGAAGAAAAAAGTCTAATCATTGCCTGCACATGGCATGCTAAAACTATCGTTCCCGCACTAAAGTGAACGCTAAAACGATATTATTTCTTCAACGATTTCGTAATGTAAAACATAATTATTATACTACTTAAAATAATACATATTTGGAAAATCTGAATCTCTCCTAATTCTGAACATATTATTCAGTCTAAACACAAACTTCTAAAACCGGACAACGATCAGTTATGAAAACATCGTAATAAGAAATAACAAAACAACAAGCATAGGCCTACCAGATGCCATAGAGATTATAATAAATTGATTAAAATGGCATGCCAGTAAATGTTAATGTTACATACAATGAAAATTGCACCTTCCACTAGACAATACTCAAAGCAAGTTTCTGCGGGTGATTCTTTTAGTAGACGTTTAGACCTAATTCGTTAGATACACTGGTGTAGCTTACATCCTCATTTTTCATTTTATTTATTTATTTAGTATCCATTCATATACAAAAATTTACAAAATAACCCTAACTCATTTTGCTATTTAATTACAGACGAAATTTGTAGAGAATAAAATTTATGTTTTTTAGATTTATATATATTTATCTCTAAAATAAACCCATTAGGTTTTCTTTATTTGTTTAAATAAATCTGTTTAATTAAAACTTTGTCGGTTATTACACTTTGCTGTTTCTGTCACGCACTATGAAACTTTGGGTGAACTGACGTCATCCCAATTGAAGCACACATTTTCACACCACCAAACTGCACCCCCGAAAAAAAAATTAACCAATTGCCAGGCAGAGATTTGAAGGCGCAGTCTCCGACACTCAACAAGGGTCATTGTGACGACGAAGAATGTTCCCCGAAAAAATGATTAACCAATCGGAGGAAGAGTTTCGGAGGCGTGGTCTCCAACCCTTGGCAAGAAATTTTGACCCTATTGTGAGCGTAGGCATGCCCATTACAAGATCTTCATCTTTTTGGGGTCATGCCTTCTTCAATAGCTAATTTATTTAATTATGTAATTTATGTAATGGAAGTAAATAAATGTTTTATGAATGAACAGCATGAATATCACATTAATTTCTCCAATTACTGTACATTGAAGGTACAAATGTGTTTTTTATGACATTCCTCTCAAGATCAGCCCCCATGGCAGGGTGAGGTAATAAAAATTTTATGATTATGGCATACATGTAAATGCTGGAAATGGTATTTCTTTTTTCTATAATTTTGAAAAATTTAGTGGAGATGGGGGCTAGGCCTCCTTGAATCAGCCACTGAATTTTGATGTAAAAATTACATGTTCAATTCATTTTTTATACAGCGAAGTCACTTGGTACTTCAACGAGGAGCAAACGAAACCAATTGAATCAAATGCTGAATACTATATATCTAAGGATAATATTGGTTACTTTCTGCAAATATTATATGTGAACAAGACTGTTGAGGGCAGTTACCACTGTGAGGCAGAGAATAGTCTAGGCAAAGCAATGTCCCAGTATGTTAATGTCTCAATAGCTTGTAAGTAATGCTTTTTATTCTACAAATATACTTTCCAGATAATTTGTCTAAAAGCAGTTGGCACAACGGTTGCAGTTAAGACTTTCAAACTTATTTATTAATTTATTTTATAGGATTTATAGAGTGCACATGTCCAGAAACTGCTTAAAGCATTTTTTCTATGGTCATTGTATACAGAATCAACCTCCTGTGCTCCGTGAGGAGAATTTCTAGTTACGCGTGTAATCACTAATCTTGAAGCCACCAGAACGTGGCATCTGGACGATTTACTAACTTATATTTTTATTTTTATACTACAGTTATTGACACCTATAACAAAGAAGGAAGCCTGATTAAAACTATGAACTATAAAGAATACCTGAAGTTAGATTGCCATCCACCAGCATCAAATCCAGCCCCAATTATTACCTGGAAAAACAATGAGAAAGATGTACCAATAGATGAAAGAGTACAAATGGATCCAACTGGTAATCTTTACATCTCGGATCTTATAGCGAGCGACGCAGGATCCTATAATTGTTATGTGAAGAACCAGGTTCTTGGACAGACTCTATACAGTGATGAGATTTCTATTGGATTTGGTGGTATGAACAAATGATCTCATTTTTTATCCCCTGTCCAGACTATCAAACTTTATTTGAAAAAAAAACATGTGATATACATAAATATGGTCTTGATGCATCACATCATGACCATATATAGGCATATCATGATTATATATGAATAAAGTGTACAACCTTTTGGAAGGTTTAAAAAAAAGAAAGAAAGAAAAAGAAAAAATGATCGCCCAAAATGCCTCAGATGTTATATTCGGGCTTCTAGAACACAAAAATTTCCGCAACCCCTACAGTAGTATTATCTTGATCAGTCCCACTTCCCCCCCCCCCACTTTTGGACATCTCTGGATCTGCCCCTAGATGTAGTTTAATGGTTAAGTTGCTTGCTTTGCAATTTACTCAAAAAGACATCTTGACTCCCTATGCCTTGTAATGAGACTCAAGCTACATTCAAATCAAGCCCGGATTCGGTCTGGAGCACGAAAAAAAAATTGTGTGTTGCTATGTTTTTTGAACGCTGCATACACATCACTGAACATGGTTGTTCAGCTTAAGTATGTATGCGTTCGATTGGTTTTGAACCAACCAAGCTTGTTGCTGATTGGTCCAAGAAAAAAAAAATGTACGATTTCAGGATACAAACGGCTCTCAGATCCATCGGTCCGGATCCGGAGTCCGGATTAGAAATCGAACGAATTTGACGTGAACGGTCCTATTCTGAACTGAACCCATTTTTCATGATTTTTTCTCAGGACTATGGACCAGAATCTGGGCTTGATGTGAACGTAGCTTTAGCTGATAAAGCATCACATTACTTCATGTATTTAAGAGGGCCCCTGAATATCAGCTGACCTACGCTGGAAGGGTTACCCCTTCGTTTTGAAAATATGACCTATGGGTGGTTCAAACAAGCAGTAACTAATTTTTGGACTAGAGCAGTGGATTGTCCCCCAGTATATTGCCCAATTCGCTCTTATGAGAGGAACTGTAACAATTTTATGTCTTTCTATATTGAAACCTACAGAAAATCCAACAGAAGTACCTACACGTAAACCAGTTCTTGTCTACAAACCGAAGGCCACCACAATTGCAATGAGAAAAACTAATCTAAAACTGCAGTGCATTGCTCAAGGAAAGTAAGTACCTGTACCATCTATGAAGATGTCAAATGTAATACCTTACCACAAAATCAGTAAATTGGTTTTTTAGGTGAAAATTTAGTTTATGTTATACTGTGTTTGAATATATCACATTTAAACTTTTCAATTGATTTTTGAATGGCTGTGTTAGAATAGTAGATTCACAGAGAGGGGTGATCGAAGTTGAGATATGTGGAAAATTTGATTGAAGGAATCAGCCTCAGATTTAACAATAATGTTCCCGCATTCAACCCAAGTCAGTTTTGAGGGATTTTTTTCTAGACTAAAACAACTCCACTCCTTCAACCTGATGTTGAGATTTCTTTGTGTAATGCATCTTGTGTATATGTGTGTCTTGCGAAAGGGGTTATCACCTACAAGTACTGTAGGACAGTGATGTATTCACTATTGACAATCCTTGGTGCATTTTTTCTGTGCCTAAAAATAATTAAGACTGAAAAATTGACTGAAATATATACTTTCGTAAAGTTTAAGTATTGAAATATTCAAATGACCTAAATTACCTTTCTCAACATATCTAATATATGTAAGAAATTAAAATACAGTTCTGCCTTGATGAAACGTAAGGTATCTTCTCGTCCTTCCTGAGTAAACAAATACGCAGATCTTTTGAACTTAAGTCCTTGATAATGGACCCGAACGGACGTAAATTGATGCAAAACAGAACACACTTTAAGAAAAGAACTAAAGAGTTAAAACTAAAGATTTAATGGTACTGTAAACATGTTTTGGGTGTTACTCTTCAATCTCTATATTATTTTAGTGTGCCTGATCATACCCTTCGCCAGCTGTCTTTAGGGGAGACAATCAATTTAGTAAAAAAATGCAAACATTAATCTGCAGGAATTGGGCAGTTTCCAGTGATGTTTGCATGCTCACATGCCTTTGAAGGACCTCTCTGCTTGAACATATCTCCACTTTAAAATTCAGCCTAGCTTTGTAACTATGTCACAGTTGAAGTGGCAGTGTTATGTGTTTATATGGTTGCTGGGATACACTACCTTTTGCTAGAGGTCATTATGTGCATCTTGATAAATATGCTGCATGCTGCTTCATGGCCAATCAATGCGCAGTTCACTTTAGGATGTTTACATTTTCAACAGCCATAAAAGGATAAAAATGTCACAGATTGATCTTTGACTAGAAAGTACAATAGTATAAAAGGTTTATGTAATGTTTATAGGGTCTATACAATGAGGTAATAAATGCGGGGTGAATGCCAAACTTTTTACAGTTCTGTAGAAACTTAAGTTCAATTTGGCTTTCTTGCATCTTCTTTATGTTTTTTCGTAATAATGTGATTCTGACAAGGAGAGTCCTTCTCTTTGTAAATCAAAAATCAAGTTTCAGTTAAAACATTAACAACCAACATCAGTTCAATAACACTGCTGTCAACATATTTAACTAGAAAAGTTAATGCATATGCATGGTTCAATCCATATGCATGATGCAGTCTTTGTATTATTATGGTGTTATTATGGTGAGTGGTCATTGCTCTTACTTTTCTAGGGAATGATATCATTGTTGTATTGAATAGGAATAAAATCCTATTTTCAAACCATACTGACTATGGTACTCCAAAGTGACTAAGAATTTCACTGTTCTTTCTATGTAGTCCAACTCCATCTATTAGATGGGAAAAGGTTGGTGGCACGATCAAATCAACTACGACTGATGAACCAGTTCTAGAAATTTCTAATTTTGAATTGAGTGATGTTGGAACTTACAGGTGTATTGCACAAAACAGTGAGGGCTCTGCTAATGCTGTGACGAACATAGTTTTTGAAGGTAAATATAGTGGGTGTTGCTATTAAAGTGAAAAGAAATACAAAATATTTTCTTCTTTTTAAACCAGTAATGATTTTTTCTTATTTTCTACATTTCGTCATGCTTTGGTTTGCATGAATGTGGCTCGCTGATGTAGCAGCCGAAGAACAGGAAGTAAACTACTGGAAATTGTTAGTGGTTTAACAAAAAAACAATATTATATAAACATATTAAAACTAGATGAATATTATCGTGATAAGAAGTAATTAATTTTTATGAAGATAAAGATATTATCGATAGTAAAAATTTGTGCCCTTCTCTGGCAAAACCTACCATTTGTATTAAAAATCAAAAATAAATTATTTTAACTGATGGAAATTAGTTGTGTGTTAGCGAAGTTATAAATATTTACATTGGATATTATTAGCTGTGTAGGTTTTGAGGAAAAACAAATCAATAAGTAGGATTTGTATTTTAAAAATTATTTTAATATACTTTATAGTTAGCTTGAGTTATTAATATTTTGCAAGAATATTCATCAATATATCTTCTTTCATCTGAAAAAACCTGAGAATTTTTGGGTTCTAGCACTAAATTAGATATTGTGACAAAAATGTAGGGTTTCGTCGGAGCCAGTCACATACATGTAATTTTAAACTATATTTATACATTAATTTTGACAGCGGCTCCATATGTCGGTGTTGAGATGGTTAACAAAGAAGTAGTACCAGGTGAGACAGCTGTGTTTACCTGTGACCCCCAAGGTGCACCGGAACCACAATTCAATTGGCTTGAAAATGGAATGAAACGTAAGTTTTGCAATAACTGCTGATTTCTTAATTCTCAGTAGAGCTTTCCAGAGTGTCAATCAAACTTTACTGACCAATCAGAATAAGGCTAGGAATGGGACTTTAGCAATAATACCCAAGGGGCGGGGCTTAAAGGAAAGGTTGATTATCAATAGATATCTAATACGTCAAATATTTGTTTTATCCTGTAACTTTTTTTTGTGTTGGGGGGAGGGGGTGGGATTAATGAGCTCTCTATCTGTATTTGTTCTTTGTTTTTCTGACTAAAGCACATTTTACACTATCAAGTTTCATGTAATTTGCCCATATAATGGGTGTGTTATGACATCATCATTCATGCCCATATATGGGCAAATCAAAAGATGTTTAGTCCTGATTGATGTAGTCTACCCATATCTTCTGTGTTCCGAGTCTACTGTTTCCAATGACAGTTCCCTTGTAGGATTGAATTGGTAATTCCAACACATGATCCAAAAGAATTGTAGGATGATTGCATGCTTCTACATCTGTCTCTTATACACATCTAGATGTGTATAAGAGACAGAACCAAGCTTGTTGCTGATTGGTCCAAGAAAAAAAAAAAACTTAGATTTCAGGATACAAATGGCTCTCAGATCCATCGGTCCGCCTCCGGATAGGAAATCGTACGAATATGATGTGAACGGTCCTATTCTTTACCACTGAACCTATTTTTCACAATTATATGTGTGCACAGATCTTTTATTAAATAACCTGTCTACATTTATAGATGTACAGTAGATCAGTTTATTGTTGATTATTATTGATTTGAAGACACTTTTTTTTTGAGGAATTACTGAAAAATCATAACCATTCACAGAGCCCTACAGTGTATAATTGTAAGATTTACTTGTAGAACATCTGTGTACCTACAGTAGATAAGAATATGTGTGCACAGATCTTTTATTAAATAACCTGTCTACATTTATAGATGTACAGTAGATCAGTTTATTGTTGATTATTGATTTGTTACAAGAAAGAGATTAGATTTTTTTTATTGATTATTATGTTAGAAATAATATTCAATTATTGTAGTAACTTTCACAATCAAAAGGAACTGTCAAGATGCTAAAAGTTTTGACCACTGTTAATGGAGTTAAATGAGGCATGTTGTGGCAAAATGGCTAAGTTGTAGTAAAAAAATTCAAGTTATTGGTATTTTGAGATACCTGAGTATGTGATCTTTAAAGGGTCATTCATTGAAATTGGACATTTCAAACATTTCAAGCCTAAGTTACTGGAAAGTGAAAGTACAGCACTCTTAGATTCAAGATAAAGATTATTTTGAGTAATTGCCTTCCAAAGTTATTTGTGCATACATTGTTTAATAGAATTAACTATCTAAATAACATTAAATAAACAATTTGTTGACCACTTCTAGAACTAATACTTTGGGACATGATTAGTAAGACATTAAACTGTTGATCTAGAGTGAAAAAAAATTTTGATTTTTAGGCAATTTTTTGAGCTCCCAAATTTTATAGCTCATCAATACTGGCCTGTGCGACAACTTAACCATTTCGCCACGACATGCCTCAAATTTGCAAATATGGACAATGTACAGCAATCTCTTTAGAGTTGTGTCGTAGTTAATTATTGTTGTCGCAGTTTGTTATGCACAGAACAGTGCATCAATATCACAATAGTTAAACGATTATACTCCTGCAAGGGTGTACAAAGTGTACAACCAAGTGATTGACAGTTAGAGGCATCGTGTTTAATCCCATTTATGGGGGAGGGGGGAATAATAGGAGAGAAAACATTCCCAGCCTCGCCTCTCCCCTATATTCCAAATATATATGCTTCGATGGAAAAGACAAGCAGCTAAATACCTTACTCAAAATGCAAAGCCTGAATTGCAATTGTTTTGTGAACTGCTTCTGCCCGCAATATGATAAATTGCAGGAGATCCTTGTACAGGGTTATGTATAATAAATATGTTGACCTCAGTAAAAGGTTTAGTGATTACAGATGTAATAAAGCTATTGAATGCATTAATTACTTATAATTATTATCTTGTTAACGTCATGTTACTATTGCTTGGTGTTCATTTCATTAATTTCCTGTAATTAGCATGAGAATTTGAAACCACACAAAAAAAAACAAAACTATTGTGTGACCCTTAACTTATATTCAGACTAAGTGGTATGTATTCTCATTCATAACTGACTTAAGGCTGTGTGCTTGTGACAAATTTGTGTAATGTGCCCATATATGGGCATGATGATGCCATATTACACCCAAATATGGGCACATCACATTTATTTGTCACATATATTGATTGTTGTGGACAAAGTTTAATACATCAGTAATATAGTTGATTAATTGAGTTGATGCTTCTGTTTTCCTATCCTGAAAGTAGTGATTCACTAGCTGTTGGATGAGAATGGAATTAGTAATTCAATTCTTAAAATTTACACTGCTATGATTAGTACAGTAATCATAATTTGAATATGTCGTTGAAGGCACTATCATATCTATGTTAGTCTTATGAAACCAGCTTGCAAACCCCAATTGTACTGAACTAGAAATTATCAAGTATTTTTACAATATGAAAGTTTATAATGAACATGGATTTTTTATTATTAAGTTCTTAAGCTAGTCCAATCTGTATAAGTCCTGATTTTGAAAATATATTTTTTTCATTTGAAATAAAGATTGTAGCTGACAGTAGATATGCGATTAGTAAGAATGAAACGAGTAGTGTCCTTACTATTGGCAGTGTGTCAATAACAGGCGATTCTGGAACCTACACATGCAATGTTGACAACCAGTTTGGAAATGATGAAGGCACGGGTACCTTGACAGTTCTGCGTAAGTTGATGAGCAACTTTTCTTACTATGCTTTGTAAACTCTTTCCTTTCTCGAACACGATTAGTGAAGAGGCTAGCAGTAGCAGATAGAAGGGGCCATTGATTATATTATTATTGTTTATTAGTATTGTTTTTGTTGTTGCAAATATTATGCAATAATAAGAAAAAAATTACAAATTGTTTACATTTCTCCCAACAGAGAGAACTGTCATTACGGAAAAACCGTCGCCGCAGGAGGTACAAGCCGGCAACCCTGTAACACTGAACTGTAAAGCAAATGCGTACAGCGGCGCACCGTTAGTAATCACGTGGGAAGATGATGAAGGCACGCAAGTAGGCCAGGGCAATAAATTCACAATTAAGGACAGCACCTTAGAAGATAGCGGTCAGTATACATGTGTGGCTACCACTGATTTAGATGAAGTCAGGGCATCCACCACCATCACTGTCCAAGGTAAAGGTCATATAAAATTATCTCCATACCTATAATTATACAATGTTCATTTAATAATAGTATAAGTGAGTGTTCTATAAGTATTACATACTTTGATAAAATTTAATATAAAAATAAAGCATTAAGAGACTGAATAATGATCGTGTGGGCTAGGTGTATGTAGAATCCTGAAGTCCAGCCAATGGCTAGCTGTAGCTCTGTTTCAAGTTAGGACAGATTTTCTGGGAATTGAAGGCAAAGCTATCCGACAGGTCTGACAATTTTTGGATGAGAGAAGGGGGATTAGCTGTCAGAATCCAGGGGTAAAGGCTTGGTAAGGGTCCCAACCCTAACTCTTAAAGATGAACAATTCTTTGTAGCTTTATGATTCTGTACTTGATATCGATGAATTCCCCAGTTGACAGGCAAATACATATTCACATAAAGTTCGGTCTTCAGTTTGGTGAATATCATCTTGAAAACATACATTTAAATATCATATATCATTGAATAATTTAGTTTAGTAGAGTACAGTCAACCAAGCCTAAGTGGCTATGATGAATAATAACCCCAATCAAGTTAATAACAATATCACATGGACAGAGAAATAACAGTTCCTAATTTCTTAACCTTTTGTTGTATTTGTATGATTACAGTTAAGATTAGTTTACAGTATGGATATTTTAATGAATTTTCTGGATGACCTTCAAAGCATTTAAATATTTGATCATACAATTCACTACCACTGATCCACCAGTAGCCAGTTGTACTTTTTACATGGGCCAAATTATATTTTCTCGTGCGTAGATTTTGGCCTGCAGGTCACTTAAATGGGAACTCAGAACTCTGAAAGCTTTCCTGTTATTGGACCAATTTAATTTTAACCTGGATTGGATTGGATTTATTTGGTGTAAACACCACTCTAGAAGATTTATTTCCAGTGGGGTCCTTCCCGGGGTGGTTGGGCAGTACACCGGGAGACAATCCCCCTACGCTTTTCCAAAGAGTATATTGCATTCTTTAACGTGCACATGGGCCATTAATGCACACGGAACTAAAGGCTTAAACGTCCCATCCGAAAGACGGTGCGCTATGTAACTTGTATTTCAGCCCTCCTGCTAAAACACAAGGAGAGGCAGCGATGGGAATTGAACCGGTGACGTAGAGATCACCATAGTTCAGCGCACACACAATGGCTACCACCATATTAGCTAACTGAGCTAAGCTGCTCCCTCACTTATTCAATCAATCACAAATATTATAAATTTTATTGACACACAGACAAGCCAGGTCCTCTTGCAAGAGTAAGTGCTGTCCTAGATACTTTAAACGAAGACATGGTCAGCATTGAATGGGAACCCGGTCCAGAGCACAACTCACCCATTACCAGCTTCGTCATTCAATCTAAGACAGAATTCGACAGCCAGTGGTCTGATGCTGGGAACGCGGAGGAAAACCAGTTAAGCAAGAAAATAGACGTTGACCCGGGAAACACATACACATTCCGTATGGCAGCAGTAAATAAAATCGGCACATCTGATTTTGTCGTGTCGAGTAGTTCAGTAGTTACCCCTTCTGGGCCACCACGTGTAAACCCAAAAAATGTAGCAGGCAGTGGAAAAACACCGGATACTATGACAATTACATGGGATGTAAGTACTTTATATCCATATCTTGTTTATGCACTGTACACTGATTTGTTTTGTCGGTGGTGGGTGGGGGAGGGGTGTGATGAAAAAGTGAGCAGGTGGCAGCTGGGGTGATGTGGTGATTTTTAACCAATTGAACGTATTATTTTTTCCAGTCAAGTGCATCTGGCTGTTGGGGTGGGGTTGAGGAAACGATATCTGGGGACCAAATATGGCAGTGTGCACCCCCATGGCTCTCCATAGATACTTATATTTATTTTACATTTAAATTAAAATACAAATCCTAAATACACAAATACTTGTACTCAAGATCACTGAAGATTTTGGGAGAAAACATAATGAAAAAGATAAAGATAAATAATTAATTGAGCAAAACATTTCTAAAGCAAAAGTACATAATCTATTATTTCTGGGGAACAAATATGGCAGTGTGCACCCCCATGGCTCTCCATAGATACTTATATTTATTTTACATTTAAATTAAAATACAAATCCTAAATACACAAATAATTGTACTCAAGATCACTGAAGATTTTGGGAGAAAACATAATGAAAAAAGATAAAGATAAATAATTAATTGAGCAAGGCATTTCTAATGCAAAAATACATAATCTATTATTTCAATATGTATTTGATAAATTTTTTATATGTAGTGAATAAATTGTTAATATGTAGTTGATACATTTTTAATGGTAACATTATATATGAATTGGTAGATGAATGGGTTTGAGCTAGAAAACTCAGCATGGTCATAAATTTAGGTTATTCAAAATTACAAAATAATTTTATCACTATAGAATTTCTTATTATTTTATTCCTTTAACCTAAACCAGCATACTATAAAATATAAAGGTAATTAAATATTTAGGAAGACTTTTCAAGTATTCAGATTTCAAATATTATATTACAATCAAGTACATGATGATGATTCAATATAAAAACAATAATATTTACAATTTCAACAGATCTGAGTTTTCAAATGTTAACTCTGGAAAATACAAAGACAGTGATGGCAGAACCTTTCTGTTAAAAAAATGAAAAAAAAAGTTTTAATTTTAAACAAAGAACATTGGAAAAGAACAATGAAATATAAAAGACTTTTACCCATGTAGCAAATCATTTTTATTTATGGTCTGGACTTAAACACACCTTTTTAAAGTCTTATCCCGACTATCAAATTTTAATTTTTACAAGAAACTGTTGCCCATCTATAGTCGTGATGTGCCTATATGTGGTCATGAATAGGTATGTCATATGTTTTTGTAAAAGAAGATTCGATAAGTCTGGACGGGACTTAACATCTATTATGCACGGTGCCTGTTGTTTTTTTTTTTACCTCAAAATTAATGATATTGGCTCTTCTTTTATGTTTGGCTTGTTATTATGAAGAATCCAATTTTCTTTTTTAATTTAGAAAATGGAACGATCCCAGCATGGTGGAGATGGTTTCAAGTATTTCGTGATGTGGCGTCGTACCGGCGAAGACAAGTGGATGAATGCCACAATTGATAACTACGAAACAACATCATATGTTGTTGAAGGCACTACTACGTATGAATCATTTGACATAAAAGTAATAGCAGTAAATAATGCAGGAAAGGGACCAGAGGATGAGGCTGTGGTGATTGGACATGCTGGAGAGGCTAGTATGTACAAATGAAACAAAAAATAAAAATTTCACCAGATTTTAAATACACATCTGACAAAGACAATCCAAACCAGTCACTTGTTGTTATTGATGCAAGTATAAACAGTAAAGTGAGAGCTATAAATTGGTAACAGAATCATTTAAATCCGACATTTCGTTATAAAGTTACAGGAGTTGAACATACAGCTATTAAGAAAAATATTTGAGGAATCAGCCTCCAAAGTTTATAAATTTTGGCATTTCCGAGGCAGAAACTATCAGTAAATTGTTAAAATTTGTAGTTTCAACATTGAAAATAAGGAAAACAACAGCATACCATGATATATGGATATATAAAGTTTAGTTTAATAATAATAATAATAATAATAATAATATTAATAATTTTAATTTAATAAAGCTCCAATATCACTAAACCGAAGTGTAATAAAATAGATTTCAAAGATTTTGACATTCCAGCATGTTTTGGCCATTATCTTTAAAACAGGATTTGCAACGAGTGACTAATTTGTATTGTCTTTGTCACATGTTGTTTGGTAAAAATCCGGGGAAACCCCTTCAAAAATTCAATTAAAATATTTAAAGTGATCAAATAAAATCATTAACTTTAAATCAGAAACAATTTTGATAGAATGCAATATATTTATTTATCCATGCACATGTGGAGTTGAATAGCTTGGCGATTAAGAAGGTTGTTTTCCAATCCCAGGATCCTAGGTTCAGTTCCAGTAATGGTAGTAAAATTTTTTTTCTCACAACTAAAAGAACTCCACACCCTAAGCTCTATAATGGAAGTTAGTCTTATGAAGAGCGCCTTGTGTTCATGTTTGCCTTGTGACAGGATGGCCACTTTGAAAAGTGATTAAGTTTACTGTTTGGTATATTCTTCGCTCTAGTACCTAATACAGAATAAATAAAATTTATAAAAAGACTAGAGAATCGTATTAGTTTTGATGCCGCAGATGCAATTTTAAAAGTCAATGGCTCATAATAACAAATGTTACTAAATCTGATTAACTTACCCTGTGGATATTTATATACCTTTTTGAATTAGAACCTGGAGCAGCTCCCGCTGATGTTGTTGTTACCCCGAGCCCTGACAGTATCCGTGTTAACTGGACTGCCATTCCTAAGGATAAGGAAAATGGAAAGCTACTTAATACAAAGGTGAGGGAGATGTATACCATATCAAAATTAGGGACATTTTTGTGTAATATTTGCTGAGCAAAAGTGGTTTGGCGGGGCAGGAACGATTTTGGTTTCTCAACCTTGAGGTGAGGGTCTCAATCATTTGGTGTGCATTTCACTTGTGTCTTTAAGCAAGGCACTTTTTTTGCATTGGTTCTCCACAACCTGGAGTATAAATGGGTGTCTGGTGGGGTTGCCTGCACCATTGCTGATTACATCAGCAACACTTCAACATGTAGACCCAATGACCTTTGCAGAGGAAGGCGCTACATAAATAACAGAATAAATAAATATTAACTAAATAAACAGCTCCGCCCCCCCCCCCCCATTATTCCACCATGCGTATACTTCAACGAGGTACCAAAACATACTCAAATGGAAATAAATTTTACTTTCCATTAAACCTTTATTTGGTTATCCTGGTTTAATTAGTTCATTTTAGTTTTTTTGCCTGCTCGTTTTATGGAACCGAATTTATCAAATTAACATAAATCAAATTAAATACTCTGAGGTGTAGCAAAATGCGCAGCGAAGGTGAAGCCTTGATGTTTAACGACCGAAATGCACTTTGTGCACCAACAGCTATCAATATAAAAGGTACATAAGTGAAAAATTGGTTTTTATATGGTCGTGTAAATGCATACATTATGGGTTTTATCAGAAAAAATTTACTAACTTATAAAATGAAATAACATTAATTTATTGTAGTTTTTAAGTAAAAATTTCACTATAAAGTTTGTCATTAATGATAACAATTTTTTCTCTGTTTAGATCTTTGTGAAATCGGACTCAAAACAAGAGCCAAGTATGTCATGTCCGGTGGAACCTACTTCCTGCGAATATTCAGGCGTAAAACCAAACACAAAATACGAGGTGTATGTACGATTAGAAAACAGTAAAGGCCTAGGTCCTTCAAGTAACTCGGTCTTTACAACAACTCCTGAGGGGGGTAAGCATGTGAAATTTCAATTGTTTCTCATTTATATGTATATTATAATTTTTTTTTTTTTTTTAATTGTTTTTCTAGTAGTTATTTTATTCTGAGGGGGGTAAGCATGTGAAATTTCAATTGTTTTTTTTTTGTTTTTTTTATTGTTTTTCTAGTACATGTAGTAACTTTATTCAAAGCTTTCACTGTGCATCCACTAAATTTGTACAGGATTCACTATACAATATGGAGTCATTGTTAAGTCAGGTTTCCAACAAATTGCTACAGTGTTTTCACTGCCAATTTGCCCTACGACCTTTACGCTAAGCCCCACCCCTTGGATATTGTTGCTAAGGTCCCACAAAAAGTTAGCATAAATGTATGTAAAACACGTGCGTTTACGGAACAACACGTGTTTGTTGGCCATGCACATACTTCTAGCACTATTCTGAGTGGTTAAGGCAGGGGCCTGCAACCTACAGCCATAATGTCATAGTGCTGGTTCAAAAGGCCCGCTCGCCTATGGCTCTGGAGGTGGAGCAAGTCTTCTCAGATAAGGACGATTAACCGTAGGCCCAGTGTACACAATGGCTCATGTGCACTATAAACAGCCTGGTACATCTTTCGAGACGAGTAGGGGGTTACCCCGGTGTACTGGTTCACCCAGCCCCTGCCCTCATCCAGATGCTGATGAGTATCTGCATAGATTTAGATTTAGATTAATGACCAATTAGCATTGCCAAAATCTGTCAGCGTGTATAGCAATTTTCTGGAAACCATATTATTATTAAATGATAATTTCATGTTCATCCTACCATTTCCATATCATTATTATCATTATAATGGTTGTTGTTATTATATTATTGTTATTATTGAAACATCATTCTTATATTTGATGTGAAATATCCATTTGATCCATGTTGCCAGACGTTATGTAATTAAGATTTATATATTTTTGCTGTCATTTATTAAAACTCTGCAATCTTTCCACAGCTCCCAGTAAAGTTATGAACTTCATGCTTAACGCATTATCTGATGCAATGAAAATGACGTGGAGAGATCCTGAAAAATCAAATGGTGTTCTACAAGGCTTTACCATCACTTATGCTAAAAGTAAGACTGCATGCCTACAGCAGAGCTCAATTTAACTTTCTTTGGTGACTAGCCGACTGTGCTAGTTTACATATGTGTGTGTGGGTGTGTGTGTGTGTGTGTGTAAATTTTAAAAGGCAAATGGGAAAATCCATAAAAAAATTTTAAAATTGAAATTTTTAAATTTAAAGAGAGAGCCGAAATATTAATTAGTTTGCCAGCAATTTGTCAATAAATCACATAGGCATACCTATGTTATAGTATAGTATAGCTGACCTTGCAACTATAGGCAATAAATTACAGAAGCTATGATTATAATCCAATTAAAGAGCAATTACCAGAGAAAGGCCTAATGTCCCAAAAGATGGTTGGAAATCAGGAAAATTTTTAAAGGGTAGCAACACCTCATGCTTTAAAAATTTATATATTATTAAAGAATCTCTATTGAGATCCAGCGGGCCGCCACTGATGCACGGTAGAGATTGCATCTTTAGATCTCCGATCTTGTTCACAAATTCACGGACTAGTGCTGTCTCGTAAGATTTTCGTAGGACGTGTGAAGAATGACAAAATATTCTCTGTATCTACTGGAACCGAGCCACATAGCTTGTATTCCACTATTTGCATTCACACCTGGGCTGTGTATATATATTGCCTTGGTTTGGTTCTGTAATCATTAGTGGTCGTGGGACTAGTTTAGGCCCTACCTAAGCTGGTCGAACGTTT